AAAAAAAAAAAAACAAGTGTAAATTAATAGGTTGAGAAACATGAAGTTACTTTTTGTTTTCATGTCCAAAAATATATAAAGTGTTATGTTTGCTGTTCATTTATTCGGTAATGTTTAGAAGAAAAAAAGTCTTATGAACAACTGAACTTTATCAATTTCTACATTAATATTTCAGAAGTTTTATTTTTTCAAAGTTTTGAACATTTAAAAATAAACTGTTCTGATCAATCACTGAATTGATTGTTGCACCCGACATAATCATTAACAGACTTTGATATAATCAATGCAAATACTGTTGCCAATTTCAAAAAAAAAGAACAGAAAAAGATTAGAAAAAAAAATAAGCTTTCTGTTTCATTAATCTCAAACAGTAGAAATATTTAGACTGATGAAACTACGCAAATGTACTAAACCATTGTTCACCAAAAAAAAAAGAAAAGTTTTCTACAATGTTTTTTATAGTTATAATCACCAAACACTCATTAGATATACCGTCGAAGAATGCCGTATCCCATCTGTAGACACAGTTTTTAATTTCTTCCTTGTTTTTTTCTCTTCTTTTTAAACATTTGTTTTCAGCGGTTTTAAATTGTCACTTTATATTCTTCAACACTGACATCATTAAAAAAGCTCATGTTTAGTCAAATTTATCAAATAAAATTTGACGCAAATGTTGTACGTCGAATTTTTGGAAGTTGAGAATTGAAGAAGGTGTTAGGTGAACAGTGATGAAACGCCTTATGCTTTCCCACTAAATTTTGGTCGAGCAGAATTGCAGCGGTAATAATGACTTAATGAAATAACCGATAAAAATAAAAGTAAAAAAAATTTTTCTTCGACCATTTTAGGCTAAAAATAATCAATTAACTGTTCTTATTTGGTTTTTTTTGTCACTCAAACGTTTGTCTCTTCTTCAAGTTTCAGTCTTACTTTCTGTCTTTAACAACCAGCTGGGTAAACACTTACCAAAAGTAAAAGAAAGCGAAGAATGTAAGTGCAAAGAAAATCGTTGTGTTCTCAGTTTTGTTTAGTATGGACTAAGATGGCATGTAACAGGATGACTCGGCAACGTTAACTCATATGAAGAAATGCCACCAAAAATATGCTTTTTTTGTTCTGACGTTTTAATGTCGAGGATATAAACATGAAACATTGTTTTGCATAAGTGCTAACCATTTTCTTCTGCAAATAATTTTCGCTTGAAAACACTGATGCAGAAATTGGTGACATTCCACGCTTTAAGTGTACAGAGTTTTAAATCCGGTTGACAACTGATCTATTCGGCTCAAAACTTGGATTATTCAAACCGCTAACCAGCCAAATCTAACTTTTGCTATCTGTACTCAAACTGAGAAATTACAGATAAAACAGAACTGTGGACACGTGTTTGGTGTAACTGTCTTCAGATAAGAAACAACAGATGAAACAGAATGCAAATTATTATCTTTTTTTTTGTTGCCCTCAGATGAATAACAATTATATGATGACAGTTGAAATGAAAACAGTTTGCAGATAATTTCTTGAACTTCAAAGACGTTATTTCATCTTTGATAAATTTAAATTTAGATGTATTTTGCTTTTTTTCAAAATATATAAAGACAAAAACGAAAATTTTAAATGATCTGATCTCTACAGCTCTTTTTTCTATTTTTGAGTCATACAATGAAAAAAACCCTCTTCTGTTTTTTCTTGTTTTTATGTATAATTTGTACCCAAAAAAGTGCAAATGAAAACAAAAAACTAAAAAATGAATTTTTTTTGATTAATAAAGTTTTTCGGGTGTTATTTTGATAAAAATTTGTGTAATCAGAAAACATACTTCTTTACATCCGGCGTTTTAGCAGTGTTTTTTGAATAAATCCCAGCATCATTGTCTAACCTTGTCCGCTGTTGTTTCATTTTTTCATTGTTATCATGAATCGAATGTGTTGAATATACTAAGTTTTGTTTACGATTCCAGTTGCTTAGTTTACTTATGTTGGATGGATATGATGAATACGTAATCGCAGAATCTGGTTCTGGTTGTTTTGATCTCTCAATCGTTTGTATATGCGGCCTTTTCATGTGCCTTGTTAAAGGTACTGTTGTGGTGTGTAGAAATCTCTTCGTCGTTCCGGGTATATACGGTTTAGGAGTTGTCGTAATTCGATCATAACTTCCTCCACCTTTTCTTTCTCCATAATTCCGCTGTACATAAGCATTTTTTCTACCATCCACGAAACGTGTGCGTTCAACTGATGGCTGATTGTGAGGAGGTCGATTTCTGCTTCTCCATTGTCTATTTGCTGTGTCATATTCCCAGTAAACCGAAGAGAATTTATTTCTTTGTTGTTGTGGTTTGGTTACTGGAGGAGTTGTTGACACCCAATGCTCTTCAAGATTTTGACGAGGAGTTGAGGGAATAAATGGACTGTAAGAAGAAGCAGGTTGTTCGTTTCTTAACCTCTCCCTAGTCCGTATGTAATTTTGTTGCATAGTTGCGTGGTAGTTTCTTCTGCTATCTTTCTGTGTCCATTGATGCGACTTTGCTGAATCCGAACGTTCTGCATTTGCAGTTGAGTCTGGCCGATTAAACCTTTCTTGGCTTTCCGTATTTCTACTGCTATCATCAATACGTTCAATCCTCCCTGGATAGTGATAGTGTTTGTCAAATTTTTTTTTCGCATTCGGCAATATTCCAGTGTTTGAAGAATTCCTATAACGATAAAAATATTCATTTATGAGTTAATTATATTATTATTGTAAATTCTGGACACGATGCTGCTTCTCCTCTATGTTGCTTTTTGAACCTGATTTGGGGTAGCTGAGCATCGGACCATTTTCTAAGCTGTTCTTCAATAACTGGACGATAAGTTTCCTGTATTTTTGGATAGTTTATTGTTGGCGAGATATAAGTGCTGCTATATTCAAATTGTTCGTATTTGTTTCTCCCTAGTCCGAAATATTCATCTGTAA